TATGGCGAGTTATTCGATGTAATATAAGTACTTTATGCGCCACCAAGTATTGCGCTGCGAAACCTGCTAGCAAAAACAAGAGAATATGTGGAATGCGAGGGAAGAGACGAGAGGATCATAATATTATACAAATTAGATGACAATTTAATGAAAAAAAATGCTATTTACGTTGCCTAACCCTAACGTATGATTTACTTAATGAAATTTGGGTTGCATATAATAATATTGTTACTGTTGGGTAAATAGTTCTTATTCTGCGTGAGTTACGATCGCGAAAGCTTGAAAACCTCGACCTTTGCCCTTGACTGTTCGTTCTTTTCTTCTGCATTCTTTTGTTAAACATCTAACGTGAAATTACGTAAACATCCCGGGATGATGCGGCGTTCTTCTCCTCTTTAATCAAGCGAATATTATTCAACCGATACGAAATTAGATAACATTGCACCGCCCACAATTACCAAGCACGAAAAAGCTCATCATAAGCTCAGCTCTTCACAATAAACGTGAAATTTCATCATCGTTGATTTTCAAGCGCGATAAACCTCCATGGATTGAATTAACTCCGCAACTCCGCAAGCATTCCATTCATAAAGCGTCTGGAGGCGAGTTGAGTGAAATCCAAATATTTGCCAAATATCTTCATCGTTTTGTAGGCCTTGTAGGCAGAAAATGCGTGCAAACAAAGTGAACACTGTACAGTTAAGTAAATTGCCGTCTGTGCGCCCGTGCCATCCACGAGTCTTTTTCGTTTGCATACGGAAAACAAAGCACCATGCGTTTGTGTTTTAGTTGATGCAAACGAAGATGCGCGTCGAACGTAAATTAGTGTTTTTATGTGCAAGCTTTGCCGCATGAAGCTTTAAACTCGTTAAGCTTTCGTACCGCGAACTGCTGCGCTTCGCATTATGCTAGCTCATTATTAGTAGGTAATTCTTCTTCATCGAAAGTTATTGGCTATTAATGCGTATTAGTGTGTTTTTATCTATTCACTCAGTTTATTTAAATACAAAACTATCTATTTAAATAATAAAGATAAACTTTCAATAAATATTTAGGTAGGGATAAAATGAGGTTATGTTTTGATTTTTTCTGTTGTTTGTTTCGTGATGGTGTTGTTCGATTAAACAAGTTGTTGGACATGTCGAACGCGCCGAAACCATTAATCTATAAGTGAATTACACCGCAACGAAACTAAAAAGTCGACGCATTCTGATCACGGCGCGGCGAATGCAGGTAAGGGTACAAGGTATAATCATGTATAATATTAATTGATTGGGTTTTAATTGAATCGGGATGCGCCCGACCGAACAACCATCGCTCGCTCCATCTTCATCTTCATCGGCGCGCGGAGTGAAGAACCTTATTGCGTTTATTGCATGCGTGTGGTATTTGTGGTCTACCACCGCGCAGCCACCGCCATCCGCAATCAACCATCAATATACATGTGTTCGTTGTGTGTGGCTGTGTGGTTTTGCATCTCCATGTTCAATTCTCATTTTATGTCCTCGTACTGCGCGAAACACTGACCACTAAACTTGTCTGGTATAGTGATGTCGCCTCAAGAAGATGTTACTTGTCGACATACAAAACAAGAGACATTCTTCTTGTTCAATTGGTGGGGCTATAGTATTGTAATGCATAGATATGCATTGCGCTATAATATAACTTGGTGATATGTGCGAGCATGTAAAAAATGAAGAAATCAGAGTTCAACTGCGTTGAGTTAAGTTGAGTGCTGTTACTGGTGTCCGAGTTGTACAAATCGAACATCTTGCAGAATGATATATGAAGAATGCAACACTCACACGTGCGAGTATTATGTATGTACCATGTCTATTATGCTTTGTTGTGGGATTTCTGAGGCGATATGGAAATAATTCAAGTTGTTTGATGAATCGATCATTAATCGTTTGAATCCGCCGCGATTACGTGCTGGCATTGTTTGTTTATCAATTGTCGGATGCAACGCATAGAGTCACGTTTATTTATTGTTTGCACAACGTCTTAATTCTTACTTGTTATGCATTTTTGGTCAACGAAAAAATAACATATCAAGAAAATTGTGGATTTCGGTTTAAAAAAAAGATTGATTTTGAACTAGCATCATCAAAAAAAGTAAAAATTTGGAGTAAATCATCATGAGTAGTGAAAAATATCTAAGCCATCCGGCTTTATATTTTTTTAAGTAAGTTTTTTATTCATATTAATAATTCAAATCATTTTTGGTATCAGTTTTCTAAAAATTTAGATAAGTCAGTATCATCCCTTAAGTATCTATGAGTGATGACTTAACGTTTCAAAAAGAGGGTTTAAATCCCTCGAGACAGACTCCCAAAAATGCTTCTTCATTATTTCCTACTTAAGTCACCAACGACCACCCGAATATAGGAATTTGAACCTTTTTGAAGAAATTTTGTGACGAAATTTGCAAGTTTATTTTTCAAATTGACCGAATATAATATGATTAACTAATTGTTCATCTATGCCATTACCTTCTTGTCAAAACATGTTTACTCCAAAATATTTATTTAAAGTTTTAAATCACTCAATCGTTCAGTCGTTCAGTCGTTAAAAATTGTTTAAGCATCGGATTACATCAATCAATGAACGACCATTAAATGTGATAAGTTCCCAAAAGTATTAAGTTACACGATAAATGACAAAGGTTTCAAAATTAGGCGAAACAAAAATTTTAATCAAAAAGAGGTTGTGATAGTGTACAAGTACTGGTACAGGAAACACCAAAAAAAAACTGGTCCAAATAATTCGATAATATTGTTATCACCAATTTGAGTTTTAGAAGATTGCATAATATTTCGTTTTTTGGGTTGAAATGTAACACACGCGAAACTGTAATGCGCGGGAAGACGGAAGAGAGGCTGGAGGCGGAAGCCTCGTTTGCTTCCTGACCTCGATTTGTGCCATTATCACACCACGCTTGCTCTTCGATAATCCATTCGTACCATTCGTTCAGAACACAATCAAGCAATTCACACAAGAAATACTCTTATTAAAAGTTAAAGTAAAGTTGAAATCATTCATTGTAACATTTGTAACAGAATTGAGAAACGAGCAGATGCCTTTAATGTTGTCTTAAAAATGTACCAACTGATAAAGGCTGAATTTAAACTAGTGCACCAGCAAACGCGGAAAAGCTTTTTGATTGTTAGCGCATAATGGAAAATCGGGGTCGTCGCATTTCTTCCGTGAAATTGAATTACCTCTAAAGTTTTATGTTATGATAAATTTAGCCGGAATAATGCTGGCGCAAAGTACGCATGCGATATTAATTGCTTTCTTATCATGCGCGCACACAAACGGCTGCAGCACTGCGGGTGAGAATACAAATAATATAATAACAATGACCAAATGACCAATGACCATAAATGCTTGTGGAACAATTGAAGCCCTGGCCCTGGAGTCAGGTTTCGAACCAGATTCAGATCTCTAACTCGTTCTTTTTGAAGCGTAGCGGTGATACAATCGATGAATGAATAAAAAACTCGCTCGTCGACCGGAGGAAAAAAGATTGATACGTGATTTGGAAAAAATGAAAACAGAGATGGAGAAAAGGGACAACGCGCCGCGGACGACAAAAGGGCTCGGATGAGTCGAAGAGTTGGGTGCGACTGGCATGGACCCAGGGCTTGACCGAAGACACGCCGCAGACAAGTGGTAAAACGGCCGCATGGAATTTCGTTGCTCTTAATGAAGAAAACTACTCTCATAGTCGAGAACAAATGCCAAAGGGCTCAACAGCCACGCGATGTTACAGATATCTATGGTGACTGAAAACGTGGTAACATATACTCCTCTCCATCTTTGTCATAATGCAATTAGAAGAGCTATAAAACGCATTTTACGAACTATACAAATTCTAATGATCCATAAAATTCAAGCCGTAGGTTTTAAGGGTGGCGCCTACACAAAAATCCAAAAAACTAATTAATTTAACGACTCCAATGACCTTCACACCAAATATATTAGGTTAATATTTGGGGTTATGTCAAACTAGGCGACTATGTCATAATTTGGCCTTGATTGCCGGTCATAAAAATCATCCGTTGATAATTACGTTGTATGCACGTCCGCAATTATGTATTTATTCAATAAGTTGTTCAATAACAGTTGAATTGTTTGACTATTTGTTCGCACAACGACGCTAACCAGGTAAAATGTCACGCATCGTGCGAATGCGAATACAAAAACTCATACGGCGTGTAATTGGAACCGAAAAACGCAAAACGTCATTAACATTTATTACTAAACTTTTGCAAACACTGACAAAGTCAGTGCCAAGTTAGCACACACATCACATCACAATTACCAATGTGTAAATTCCCTTCTAGGAACTTTAAAACGCATAAAAACATGAATTAACATAAATTTATATTAGGTGCATATGTAAATTGGTCCGAAACGAAATTGGCACGAGAGCTTATCCATCAGCGGAATTTTAGTTTCTCGTTAATCGCTTTTCGACTCTCAGAGCAACGGGGCACTTGTGGGGGATTGTTCTCGAGAAGAGAAGAAACGGCCCGAAATAATGACGGGGTAATAACCCGTGATTAAGTTTTTTCTGTGTGCAGCCCAGGGCGGCCGAAGGGCAGCAAAAGGAGCAACAGGCAAAAATTACGTACCGAAAAACGCGCGCGCGACGAACGTTTTGCGCCGACGCTTTTTATGTGCGAGCGCGACGTGTGCGGGAAGCTTCACAAGCTTCACGAGTTTTCAGCGCGCGGCCGAAGAACAAACGCATCTTTTAGTTAACAGATCCGAAATCGGAAGATGACCGAAAGATATTGCCTGGAAAGAAACACCAAGCACTTCTAGGAAACGGACAGCAAAAAACTAAAGGCGTTGCGTTCAAATTTAGAGCACTTTTATAACATGCAAGTATTTTTTCTGTATAAATTTAATATATTCTTCGTTTATCCATGTTTTTTGTTTAAATAATAAATATTTAGAAAGTTTTAATTTGTTTCTATGTAAAAACTTACCCAAGTCGCCGTAGAGTTTCCATTCTCCCAGATAAATGTGTTGTTATCGCGCACCCCCGGCGAAATCAGGCGCGTTATGCGCGTAATTCAAACGAAAGCGCGAACGAATTTAAACCGATAGGTCGGAGTAAGTCACTTGCGCATCAGGCGCGTCGCCCGCCCCGGCCGCGATTGACTGAGACGAGTCCGCGCCGCCCGCTCACAAGCTCGCAAGCGCTGAAGCTGCTGGGCTGAACCGCTGAAGTATGCTAAGTATGCGCGCGCTGCCAACCACTACGCGCACCCGCAACCGACTGAGACTACTTGGCTTCTTTGCAGCTATACCAGCCAAGCTACACCAAAGTTGCCTTACCACCAAGTCCAAGCCAGCCCATAGAACCAGCCAGTCGGGAATAGTAAGTATAGTATGCGTTCTAGTCAATGAATATTAAAGCTTTTGCAACGTATGAGAATAGTGTGTGAATAAGCTGAGTTAGATGGTTGCTATTTTACCCTGAAAATTATGAAGCACGTGGTGGTCAGATGTTTTAACACTTCTTGACTTGCCTTTAGGGTGTTACTGTAAATTTTCAGAGTTTCTTAAGTGCACATGTGAACAAACGCAGAATTTTTATTTGAGACGTCATAAAATAGATAAATTTTTATGGCTGTGGATGCAAGTGTGAATAATTTCCTGTTTTACGCTTAACATGCGCAGTCAATACTATAAACTTGAGTATAGTACAATAACATTAACTTAAAATGTGCAATTTAGCATAATATATAATAATATTAATAATATGTATATTATTATTGCAATTTTATATTAAATAAAATGTATATGCAATAGTAATGTATTCTTTTTGATTTCAGGACTTTTAAAACTTTGTACCTCTGAATATAAATGTACATTCGTTGTTTTAATATAGGCAACCCATTTTACGTCTCGCAACCTGTTGATTGATTCATTTTACACTTATTGAATGCCAAATGATTTTACGTGATTAGAAAATAAATGAACGTAATGAAAATTACGTAAATATTGTGTAAATTTTATTTTAAGCATGTTAGAGGATTGAAATAACGGAAGTAAGTTTTACTTGTTGCGCGCCGGATGCGACGAGGAAGATGATACCAACGTATATCCCGCGCCCACGACAACAGAGTGATCGCTGCTCTCATTTTAGCGCTCATATTCGTTTGATTTGTATTCTGTAATCGTCAGTGGAAAATGCTTTTTTATATTAATTAGTATGTGCGACACAAATATATTTATAATTGCGTGATTAGTGTAAAATTGATCCTGTGTTATTTGATTACAATTATTATGTATTTATGGAATTAAGGCAGGTCTTTTATTTTGCTGCGTGGTTAAATGTATTTATTACAATTTATTATTTACATTTTATTATTACATTTTATTGAATAAATTTAATAAACAAATATAATTGTTCAATGTTACTCTGTGTACCTTCATCAGCTTCAAAAACTTATAAAAAATTTGACCTAATTTGTCCGGAAAAATTATTTTCTTAATTACTATGACAATTCATAACGTCTTAAACTATTGGACTCTTCAAACTGTTTCAAAGTATCGTCAAATATAAACTGAATATTTAAATTTTTTCACCCAAAAGATTTTCTACACTCACTTGAAATACTTGGTAAATACTACCTAAATAGTTAGTCTGATAACAAAACGTAACTTAGATAAAGTGTTTAAAATCAACTGTTCTTTAATTACCTGCAATAAAAATTTCAAAATTCAAATTTTTATTTTTTGGCCATGAATTGAGATCGAAACTGTATAATCCAGTTTATCGCTATTTTCCTGCAAACTACTAATGTTAAAGAAAAACGGTTTTCAGATTCCTATGTAGGCTAAAATTGTACGTAATATACCACTTAAAAATTTTAAGTTTTCCATAATTACGTAATTAATAAAAAAGTCCAATAACTTGAAAAGCATTTAAAATTTTGGGACAAAAACCAGAAAAATGGGGTCCTTGCATCATTGCGCACCAAATTAGAAAGTTTCGTGAAAATCTGAAGGGTGGTTCAATTTTGCCTGTATCGATTTTCACCCAATTTTTTCGAAATAATTATATTATCAAAAAACTGACAAGATATCTTTCATCCCCTTGTAATTCTCTATCGATTGGCGTTTTCCATTTTCTTCTAACTTAAAAAATAATTTTTGAGCCAAAATATAGGCAAGTGTAACCTCTTGATGATTTTGAGTGGTCTTTGGTCAATTTCATAGAATCAAAAAAATAAATCTGCCATTTCATAGATGCTTGTTTTGGCATGAAGAAAATGCAGAAAGTTTTATTCTAACTTTTCTACTTTTCGAGAAAATCGCGTTGGAAAATCAATTTTCACTCTCTTTAAAATGGAAATTTTAAAGACTTGCGTAATGTTGAATTTTTGTGTGAATACAATGCCGTTTTCTGTTTTCGGTTATCTTTATTAATTCCCAAGATAATTGGGTATAAGTACCGCTGCATGTACTTGTTGCAATCACATACGTCCACAAGGCGAACCCTTAGAACTATTGTACCGGAAGTGGTGCAAATATGGTAATTGTAAGTTGCTTTACCTAATGGTATTATTAATTTTTAATAATTATTAAATGTCAGGCGCCTCCACCAAATTTTTGCCAATTAATGTAATTTCTTTAGAAATTAAAAAATTGAGACTTTTTATTGCTGATTACTAAAGGAAACAATTTTACTGACATGATATGTTAATAACTATTTGCAATTTGGCTTAAGATTCAAAAAATTGAAGTTAAAGATAGAGTAGGTAGTATTAATCTAGCACTGTTAAATTTCATGAATTAATTTTGGGATTTAAACAAAGAAAGGTAAAAAACTTACTAAGATTTATTAATAAGAATTAATCGTTTATTTAAAATCCGCAAGCAAAAGTTGAAAATTCCAACTTTTAGTTTCAAACATAAAATAAAGAAAGCAGTTGACTTCTCGTTATGACGAAATCTTATCTTCGGTGCTTCGACCTGAAATAATTTAACTAAAGAATTTGACCCTGTCTTTCGACCGAAAATAATTTAATGAAAAAAAGTTCGACCCTGTCTTTCGACCGAAAATAATTTTACTAAAAAAGTTCGACCCTGTCTTTCGACCAAAAATAATTTAACGAGAAAAGTTCGACTCTATCTTTCGACCGAAAAACGTCATTCTATAGAGAATTACAATGCAAGGACGAATCTGAAAACATTAAAATAGGAGGAAAGAAAACATTGTTTAACAAAAAGATATTTTTATTAAAAAAATAAATTATACAACTTCCTATCAAAACCTCATTTGCTTTCTTTGGCCCTTTGATTTCCCCAACTTATATAAATCAAGACAGTTGTAAAACTGTGAACATAATGAAATGTTCTTTTCATCATTTTACCCGCTGGCTCGCAATTGTCTGTAGCATAACAATCATGTCCCACTTCTCCGTTAACATCCATTTGAATTATAGGGCAATCAAAATGCATGCCTAATGTCTTCGCCTCCGCTGCCTTCCTCCTCCTTCCACAACAAACAAAAGACAGAAGAAATTCCTCGTGGTGTCGCTCTAACCCGTTTTTAAACTAAAATAATTTACGGATTCTTTAATATATGCAACATTAAATAATGTCATTACCCTTACTTCTAATATCTTCGACTCAAAAATGTCATAATCACAGTCGACAACAGTTGAAGCTGCAAAGAACTTGCTGGCACTGTCCTTTTGGCGAAGGAATGCAACGTAAGTCGCAGATGCAGGTCCATCCCAGTTTATCTTATGCATATGTCTCAAACCAAATGATCCAGCCATAGGAATCTGTATTGTCTGTCTGTACATAAAATTGCAAATCAAAATAAAATTAAGAAAAGATCATTTAAACTACGTACAGTTTTGCTATCTCATCCAATACAGCTTCGACCTCAATAGGATCGTTAGATGATAAGAACAACAGCAGACATGCCAGTTCCTCATTTGCTTTGATCACTTGAGGAATTTCACTTGCTGATGTAAAATATCTTATATTTATGCCTGGTATAGGTGGAAAGCAAAGAGTAAAGTACATAGACTGATCCTTAAACAGTTTATGTGCTTTAACCAATGTATGTGGCCCTTCATAGCCATTAAATCTTAAATTATCCATGCTCAATAATACATGTGGAATCTTCAGGTGAAATGTGCCATCTTGTTTCAAAAAATTTAGAACTGCAAGCAAAGTAATTAGAAAATATGTAAGAATTGAATATCAATCACATACAATTTTTACCATATTTATTTGCAATTTTATTTGAGAAAAGGTAAAAGCAGCATTAATTTGTGAGGAAAACAAATGTTTGCTGAATTCTATAGGATGAGCCTTCTTCACAAACGCCAATTTAGGATTATACCAGGAAGTCACCCAATTAACTGTGCTAATACGTCTTTTCATTTCTGCAGTAATGATAGACTTCCAGTTTGCAGTAGCATCACCTAATTCCACATAAATCATGGTGAGATGATACAATGATAAGCATTGGCAAATCAGCCTGATAACTGGAATATGTGGGTCCAGTTCAAGAAGAAAATTTCTTGTGTCTTTATCTAGTGCATTGAAGTTGCAATTCAACTCTAAGTTGTCATCACAATATTCTAGAAGAAACAAAGCATTGCAAGACATATAAATAGTAAACAATGGAATTAAAATATTATTATATAGGTTATTGCTGAGTTTAAGATATATACATACTTATTGTGCTGGTATTTGGGCAACACTTGCCCTGCATGCTCTCATAAAACTTTACATAAGTTTCATTCATTGTTGCTAGTCAAAAGGGCAGCGAAATGCCTTGATAACACTTCGTATTCTGTTAAACAATAAATTCATGTACCACAGCTCAACGGATTCAAGCTTCACTGCTTGAACAGAGGTTAATTTAATCGATATTAAATTAATATATTGTAGGGTAGTTGCTTAGTTGTATTAATGTTACATGTGTACGTAATATTAGGAAATATATAAAAGTGCACAAAATTTAAATTCTGGTTGAACTTTTACTCAAAAAATTATTTTCGGTCGAATAACAGGGTCGAACTATTTCCTAAAATTATTTTCTGCTGAAACACAGGGTCGAACTATTTCTTTAAAATATTTTCCGTTGAAATGATGTTTTTTATTACATAACATGGAATAAATTATTATCAAAATTTAAAAATTCATATTATTACAAAACCTGCTATTGCCGAAATAAAAGATTTCGTCATAAAAGAGAAATATTTTATCTTTTTTATGTTTAAAATTAAA